TTCTGGAGAGATGGCTTCGAAGCACTTGGAGCATATTTCAGAAGTTGGTTCAATAGCATTTTTGGCTGAAGAGGAGGTGTCTTTATTTTGTAAAGCCAGAGTAAGTCCAATATCAGTGTCGCTCTCAAATAATTGGAGATCTTGATCACATTCGGGTGTAATGGTGTTAAGTTCCTTCCGCAAAGCTTGTGTGATGATATTTCCATTGCATCCTGCGTTCTTGCTTCATTAAGAGCCGGAGAGAGGAAGGTTTTGATTTGCACTCTACATTCGCGCATCTTGATTCTTCATTTAGCAGATGCACATTTGATGGTAATCCAATCATAATTAAACACCAATCATATAATTAAATGCAATAATTTTTGCGTTCGAACAATAACACATTTATGAAATTACGATTTTTATTTACTATATTATTTTTTCGAAGTGAGAGTCAATAACATAAGTGAACAGATTACAAATTATTCATCAATACAATAAGCCCTCCTACTAATTAGACGATGCAAACCCACTCTCAAAACAATAAACATACAACTCAATTCTGCATCGTTTCGTTCTTTTAAAGGCATTAAGTACTCATTTTTTTTCACTTTAATTTTATGTTCCAAAACTTCACGAACTGTCTTTTGTTTAGGCCGATATTTATCACTGATTTCAAGGCTTAAAATTTCTTCATCTGATTTTTCTGACAATAATCGGGACACCTGAGTTAATTCCTGCCAGCTATTTGTGACTCCATTTAATTTAACACATTCTGTCTTAATATTATCAAATTCGATTGCTATTCTTCTTCCGGTACTTGTCTTTACTAGATCAATTGCTTTTCTACTTAAATTTTGAGTATGCACCCGAAATTCTGGTTCAATGTCCGCGTGAAGAGTGAGAATTAAAGCATCCATAAAAGCTTGTTTCAATGCTTCTTCATTTGAATGCTTAACACTATTGTCCTTCAATGGTTTAAGTAAAGTCTTTTCTATAAATCGGCAAAGAGGTTCAATTTTATTATCTGACTCTAAAATCCGCAAACATTCCGCACAGACATTAAATCCTCTTCTTTCCAATCATAAATCTTAAGTGCCTCTGCAATAAACTCTCTTTTGGCAATACGATTCGGGATCTGAAGTTCATATTTTAATGATCCCGGTTTATATGTTAGAGCACCAGTATAGAACATGAATGATAGTAATGGAGTACGATCAGTTGCTAGCTCACGAATGTTGGTAAGCCGAAATCGTTGTTCTATATCCGTTTTTAATTCAAGAGAATGTTGATTGAGTACTTCGGTAAGGACGAATTTGCCAAGGGGATTGTTGACAATCAAATCCAAAGTTGTTTGAGAGGGCAATGTATGCGGGTCAGAGGGAAACCTAAGAAGTTTTTTGATGGTAGCTGAAGTATCCTGATAATCATCGTTTGTAAGTATCGTTTTTCTTTCCATCAACATCTCAATACAGTATAAGACACGAGCAGTGTTGAAAATACCCTCAGTTTGATCAGGGTTGAAAAAATACCCATCATTTTCCTCCTTTAACCACTTTAATATTCCTCCCTTAACATCTGATGATAAACCAAGAGCATTGTCTAAGAGATGTTCAATTTCCGACTTCTTGAAACCATACAAGTCCCAAAATTCTTTTCTTAATGCTAAATCTTTCGAAATGTTAAAACCCGAAGTGAACTCAGACATAACGACGGGGGTCACACCAGTTTGGAAAACACGAGCTATGCCTTCATCACAAGCAGTCTTCAGGCGACTGTAGAATTGTTTGAACGAACTATCCATTGCTTCAATTCTGGTTTTAGAAGGGTTACTTTTCTTTTCATGATGAGCGATAAGAGGTTGTAAGATGGTTTCGTTTTTAAGGGCTTCATTCATGCCAGCATCGTATTCATCGATGAAAACATAAAGCTAAAGAAGCAATGGAATATTAGTTTTGCACTTTCTGAATAGAAATTATTAACTGAGCAAAGGAAAAAATACCTTGTGATCACTTAATTGTACCGCTTCCAATAGCATCATGAAATTTCTCAAAGCACTTTTATTTTCATCAACGGCCTGGAAATAATCCCCCAACTCATATCGATATCGGTTCATAAATATTGACATAAATCTATTTAAACTTTCGTGAAAGTCGACATTGAAGATGTCGTATGTTTCATTAGTGCGAAGCCCAGCAAAATTGAGTTTGAGAACAAGATATGATGATGCTAAATTTGTAGGGTTTTCGCCGATGAATAAATCACCAAAAAGCTGGTTGAATCGTTCTCCTTTGTTCTTTATATCATAATAAGATGACAAAGTGGAGAGGAATAGTGTTTTTCCGAAACGACGAGGACGTAGAGAAAGGATGGCGGGAGCACGGAGAGCTTCTATTTTAGGGATGAAGTGAGTCTTATCTAAATAATAACAGCCTTCCCGCTTCAAAGTATCAAATGACCCTGTCGAAAATATTTCGAGAGGTTTCGAAGATGGTGCATCTGATAGGAACCGAAGAAAGAAGAATGAAAAGTGAGATAAACGCCTATTCCTCCAAATCACACACGCATTGTTAAAAAAGAAAAGCTTTGTGGGCGAAAACTTTATATTCATTATTTATCAAGGGTTGTTACTCAATTATCCAGATTTATTCAAAACTAACATAAAGGGTGTTCCAAGCCAGAACGGTATCACGTGATAAGTGGCGCTGTAAAATACGTGCATCGGAAACGACTAGTTTATTATAAATTGTACACTCAAAACCGAACTTTAGCTTTGCGCCAATAAAGGTAAGCATCAGACCAACATAATTACTATTAACGGGAGAAGAAATTATCCATGATACATTTCACATCACTTCTGAAAAGCTAGATGCAATAAAGCCTATGTGCAAAATTTTATTATTTTTTAATCTCAATCTAAATTTAAAAAGTAGACATGACAATAAATAACAGCATCATAATGGAAGTTTGGTTACCAGTAGCAATTGCTTCAGACTTATTAGTTTCGAATCTCGGGCACATCAAGAACAAAAAAGACATGATATCTAGGCTAAATGCCTGTAAAAGAAAAGGTTATATACGAATTAAGTTTAAAGTTGATTGTGTTTACAAGAGTACTGCAGTTCATATTTTGGTTGTGCAAGCATTCATCCCTAATCCAGAAAATAAGCCCTATGTTAATCACATCAACGGTATCAGATATGATAATCGAGCTGTTAATTTAGAATGGGTAACTCCTAGAGAGAATGCTGAACGTACAGTATTTCGAAATCCTAGTTGTAGTAGTTCTAAAAAAATTGTGCAAATGACCTTGAATGGAAATGTTGTTCAAGTTTGGGATTCTATCACTCTCGCATCGAATACTCTTAATATAGTAATGAGCAATATTTCTTATTGTTGTAGCGGAAAGCTAAATATTGCTGGAGGGTGGCATTGGATGTATTATGAAGATTACATAGAACAAGATCCTAATGAAGAATGGAGAGAAATAGAAATTAATTTACGAAAATTCAGTATTTCATCTTTAGGGAGGGTTCAGTTTCCGAATGGCTTAATATCTCAAGGATCTCTAGATGCAGGATATCTTAGAGTCACTCGAGAAAAATACCGTGTTCATCGCTTAGTCGCATTAGCATTTTGTTCCAAAGAAGAAGGCAAAGAATATGTAAATCATATTGACGGAGATTCTACCAATAATAAAGCATCAAATCTTGAATGGGTAAGTCAAAAAGAGAATACTCAACATGCCATACGTCTCGGGCTTCGATGCCAACGTGCTGTTAAGCAAATTTTTCATGATGGATCTTTCCAAGTATTTCCATCCTTAGCTGAAGCACAACGTATAACTGGGGCTAAAAAACAAAATATCAGTTTAGTATGTCAAGGACTTCAAAATCATACGAGAGGATATCATTGGGAATATATAAATGCAACAACATATCATAAAAATTGACTTGTTCAATTATAAAATTACTAATCTGTTATTAGTTTTTATATTTGTCTACACAACAGGCACGGCAAAAGTTTTGGAATCTGAACATCGGTAACAAGAGTTTTCGGGATCTCATTCAGAATGTTTTTCGCTAGAGCTATTATGTGGGTTTTATTTATACTTTAGCGACGAAAAAAACAAATCTCATATCACCTATATATTTGCTCATACGTCGCTCGAAAAAAATATCCCAACTCGAAATGGTATTACATCCGAAATATCGCAAGTAAGAGGTATGGTTTTTATTATAGCAGAATCAAAAAGGGAAAGTCGAATTTAGGATCAGCGAAAAACATTAAAATTAATAAAAAATACCGAATGAAGGTACAGTATATATGAGAAATTGGGTCGCACAAAAAAACATGTGGATCTAACCTGCTAAGTGCTTATTCCTCTACAATAAAAAATTGGATTATCGTGATCACAGTTTATTATACGATTAATTTATGTCTCGAGGCTACTTTACGTACCTTTGTACAATTATATACCTTGTTCTTATTTCGCTTCTTTTTTGGTTTAGAATGGATAGAGCCGAGGTCTTTAGACTCATGTATCTTTTTTACTGCAACAACGTCGAGTAAAATATCAGAACAATTTGAGGAAGCAAAGCTTCGAGATTCTATCTCATCTAATGCATCGCTATTATCAGTCTCAAATTCTGGTAATTCACGCTTACATTTTGCCTTTCTATCTCTTAGCTCAGACTCGACTGCTTTTAATCTCAAATAAATAAGATTTATATGTAATCCTACTTCATCAATCATAATGGAATCTTTGAGATATTTAAACTCATTTTTCACTTTTCGTTCTGCATAATCATTAAAATTTTCTATCATTTTGATTGGTACTGTGAAATAACTCTGCTAATATATATATACAAAAAATATTCAGCTAAAAAAATCTGATATTAGCACTTATGTACTAGCTCCGCTAATGCAGTTGAAACAAAATTAGTATTTTTTAATTAAGCTTATTCGCATTTTGATAATATCGATCTTTGGCTTGCTTCATAAATGATCCATTAGGTCGATAAAGCCATTTAATTACTGTATGCTGGATAATTTTAACTGAATCTATTTGTTTTCGATATCATAAATGAAATGCTCGCTGAATAGTCAACACTGCTTGTTTTTTAAAATATCGGTAACAATATTGTTGGTGTCTTAAATGGATAACAACTGATCCTTTATACCAATAATGGCATTTAACACATTGTCCATAAGAAATTTGTGGAGAGATATATTTTTTTAACACATTATTAGGCATATAAATATATGAAGGAATAGTATACAATTGATCAAGGAAACTTTGGTTATAGTTTGTCATTATACTATTATATCAAACATGTAGAATTTTTAACTTAGACTTTTTATTTAATAGATAACCAGGCCCAAAGGATGCTTCTACGAGGCATGGAGCTAACCGAAAAAATTAAATATGGCAGATGGGTAGGTCGACTTGCTTTCCTACATTAGGTAAATAAAATTCATTAAACGAAAAATTATCGTGTGATATCACTTTATATAACTCAATAGCGGAGCTAGTGTCAAGACACATAATTAATTATGTATCTGTCTCCAGAGCTTCATATAATTTTGGTCATCAGCTTGCACTAATTTAGACCGCATTCCGTTAGCATATCTCGTGCTGTCATTTTGATTATTGTTCCGTAGCCATGGGCTATACAAAAATATATCTATATCTTGATAAATAATTTTTATTTACTTTATATATTTACTCAATTATTACTTAACATGTCGACCTCTAGTAATATCAAAATTATTAAACAAATCAATGAATATAAAGAAAAGCTAGTTGCAAAAGGAATGTATGACGATAATTTTGAGATTTTATCTCTTGGCGGATTTATTGCTAAACGAATTTTACTTCATGAGCAGGATGTAAGTTATGTTCGTAATAATAAAATAGAGCATGTACCACATGAGGAGTTTCTTAAGCTAATTAAGCTAATAGAATTATTTTATATCCT